ATGCATAAATGCATACATAAATACACATTATTACACAAATACAGAACAGTTTACAAACAATGCCACTGTCGGTCGCCACTGTGCAGCGCTCTGAGTAAAGTATGCTTTTATTTCAAATCAGGTTTGGTTTTCGTTTGTTGACCGTTTGTATATATAAGGGCATTTCTAGATAGAATGTAATCATAAAATAAGTGGCACGACTTGGTGGAATCAGGCACTGGTAAATTTTTGGGCATATGGAGTTATTGGTATCATCTTAGAGCTTGTTCTTTTGCTTTCCTTTTGGTAAAAAAAATATTCATCTATGTTGAATAGAAGTCGAGATATTTGTGATTGAAGGAGGTGGGGTCACCTGGTTTGAGATGAAAAATTAGTGAGAAAATGGCCGCCAAATATTAGTTATTTCCTTAGCTTAAGAGTCTTTGGTAACAAAAAATGTATATTTTTAGGCCTTTAATCAACGTTTTTCAGTAAAATCCACACTGAAATGAGTTCTTTAAAAGGCATGAAAAGTGTTGAGCAAAAAAAAAGAAAGAAAAATTGATAAAAATTCACAAACCTGCGGGAAAATGCAAGTTTCTTCACTTCTATTATTTTTGACGAGAGCCTGATTCCACAACGCTGTCTCACATATATTACATTCTCCAACACAGGTTTGACTTTCCTTTGATGATTTCTGAGCTCCAGAGGGCCGATAAAGATATTCCTGAGCATATCCTGTGTGCTGACAGTCTAGAGGCTTTCCGCACGTTAGACGGACTCAGCCCTCTGTCTGAATTCTTGAAAGGGAAAAGTCAACAAAGGAAACGAGCTCAACAGTTTAAAATATCGAAAACACCAGAAGATGAGAAGGAAACATGGAATGCTTCTGTCGTTTCAGTTCGTAGCCCCAGAAAAAGTGCTTCAACCAAAAATGATCCGGTGTCGCCTGTGACACAATTTGGGCAGCGACTCTCGTTGGAAGAGCAAAGCGGGTCGCCAGCAAGAAGATACGTCCCTTCTGGCAAAGGTGTAGAGGATGTGCGATATTTCGATGAGCATACGTCCGTCAGTAGACGTGCTGTTAGACAACAGGAACCACAGATCCAAGAGAGACAATTGAAGACCTCCCGACACACGGAGGGCGAGGGACTGCGACGTTTTCAAAGTTCCTATGTCATCCCCGATGAACGGAGATACGACCAGATGTATGAGACACGAACAAGCAGTACACAAGTCCGGACAACGCGCCAAGTTGTTGCCCCGAAAACAGCTACGGACAGGCCAGAGACCGCCTCGGCCGTTCTACCACGGCGTGGGTCATCAGAGTTAGGCGACCATAAAGGTAGTTATTATAGGAGGCCAGGGACACCCGTGGAAAGAAGAGATCTGCCAGAAGCAAGAGATGACTCAGATGAGGAGGACGCAGACGAGGACACAGACGAGGACACAGATGTGGACACAGGTGCCAGCGATAAGTCCCGGGACGGCTCGGGGGAGAAAAAAGAGTCCAGTAAGGAGGTGTCATACAAACTCTCAGCCGTTTATTCCCGAATGTTTGGGCAAGAGCCCGATGTGTCCCACACGGCGGAGGATGATTGCTTGACCATGCTGAAGATTGTGCACGTCTTGTCGAGAAAGTTTATCGAATGGTGTGACGCTAATGCAGTCCCACTAAATTCTGTGGATCCCATGTACTAATTCGGGATGTTCCCATAATTTTTACAAATGTAGCTTTCTTGTCGAAACATTTCATTGAATGGTATAACGCAATAAATGCAGCCCCACTAAACACTATGGATCCCATGTACAGATTCAGGACATTCCCATCTTTGTTTCTACACATTTGAGCGCTCCTGGAAATATTTCGGATATTTTGAATATCTCCACTAAATTTTTTATTGCATATTATATTCGAGAGTCGGTTTTAAAAATATATCAAGATATAATATTGTAAAAACTTGTGAAAATAGTTTCCCTAAGAGAAAGTTGGATAGCTCTATGTTGTTTTCTTCACGAGAAAACAACTTGAATGTACGGTAGTTTTCAACATACATGTATTTGTCATAGTCATTTTATTTGTACTTACTTTGCATTAAGATTTTTAAATAGTGCGTAAGTGTTTGTAGAAGTGTCTGCATTGGTGTGATATTGTGTATTTTGGTAACTTTGATAATATATTCTTTGTACTTACTTACCTCTCTCTCTCTCTCTCTCTCTCTCTCTCTCTCTCTCTCTCTCTCTCTTGCCCTTTTTAACTCCCAGTGGAGCATAGGCCATCAACAACATTTCTCCAGCGAAGTTTGTCCTGTGCATCTTTTTCTAGCTGTTTCCATGATGTCCTCACCTTTTCCATTTCCGCTTCCTAACTTACCTACTTACTTACTTTACTTTATCCGTTCTCTTATACCTCTATGGCGTCGTGGGGAGAAAGAGCTTTTTGTCTCTAGCAAGTTGAGTGGTCTGGCTCGGCGGAATGTTGTATGTTTTCAGGGTATCCTTCACACCTTTGATCCAGGTCTCCCTTGGTCTACCTCTTGACTTGTACCCTCATATTTTATTTTTGTAGTACGCTTTACTGGCATGCTGGTGGGGTGTCATACGTGTCAGATGTCCAAACCACCTGATTGTTTGCCTCTGAATGTAGTGGAGGACATGTGTTGTTCCTATCATTTCTATGATCCTGTTGTTTCTGACCATGTCCCGTCTGGTTTTGCTGATGACTCTCCTCAGACATCTCATCTCTCAGGGGGTTATCTTACGTTCCAGACTTTCGGTCAAGGTCCATGTCTGGCACTGGTAGGTCAAGGTGGGGATGAAGATAGAGTTAATGAGCTTGGCTTTGGTCTCAATGGGGATGTTAGGATTTTGAGAAGTGGGGCAAGCTGGTAGCTGACATTGTTTGCCTTGTGTACTCTCGTCTCAGAAGATGCTACCAGGACACTAATTTTAACTCGCTGACTTGTTTCATTGGAGTTCCGTCGATGCTGATGTTCAGGTTGCGATGTGTTCTGCTGATATTCAATGTCTCCATTTTGCTTTTGCTGATCTTCATGCTGAACTTTTGACATTGTGTATTCAGCCTGTCTGTGTGCTCTTGAAGTTGCTCTTCTTTCACATATGCCAGGCTTTGTTCATCCGCAAACAACATCTCATTCAGGTCTTTCGGGTTGGGGTTTGTTTCTTTCGTAGTTTTGTCCATGTATATGATGAAAATCAGCCGTGATACCACACACCCTTGTCTCTCTCCAGATGACACGTCGAGTCCGCTCTTTTCTCCGATTGTTTTTTTTTTAGCAATAAATAATCCACGACCGGCTTGCTGGGCCGGTCGTAGCTTCACCAGAGCCCCGATAGCTGGACGTTTCAGGGTGACCCGGGATGGCCTCCATGGCTACCGTAGCGGTCATGTGAGTAAAATTCAAGCCATACATTTAGCAAAACTTAACAATCCCCTACTTTGTTCGGTTCATTTGGGGGTCGTTTTCTAGCGGCTTCTGTGCACACTATAAAGAGAACCCTGCCCAAACGTGCGGCCTTGAAAATTCCTGCATGTGGTTGAATGATGCATTTGATGTTAATGTACATCTTGTCAGCTTTACTTCTCCTTTCATATTGAA